CCGCCCGGATCGCGCCGGGTCTGGCGCTCCTGCTCTGCTGCCCGGTGCTCAGCTCCGCATATACGCTGGTAAGTCCCCCTCTCACACTCCAGGGCAGGCTGCCGGCTTGCTTTGGGGTCCCCCAGCGGGCGGGGCGGGATTCAGGGCTCAGAGGCTTGAGTTCCCCCAGTAGTCTGAACTTTGGGTGGGGGTCCCCTCTGGCGTGTCTGGATTCTGGGTTCCAGATGTCTAAGGTCTCTCTGTTTCTGAAGCCTAGGTTTGGGGTCCCAGGTCTGGAAATCTGTGATTGGGGTTCTGTCATCTGCTTCTATGAGCATCAGTGCTCTGTGTCTCCCTTGAAGATGACAGTATGATCTAGCAGAAGACTGGGCTTTGGCCCTGATGTAGGGTCCCACAGACTTTGCGCTGGGGGCTTCTGTTTTCTGCAAGTTTTGTTCTGCAGTCTGGGACACAGGGCTGTAGCTCTGAGGTTGCGAGTAGGATTTGAGGATCCCTCCAGCTCTCACCATAGCATGCATGCACACATGCATGCACTCATACCCAGCTTCACCCATACTGGAAGATGTCTGCCCAAAGAGGCGGGTGTGGTATGGCATGGAGGAGGGATGGAGGTCCCCTGAAGGAGACTGACCTTACAGAATACTCCTAGCAGGAGAAACATGCTGGAGGGAGACTCTGGTGAGCATGGGGTTCCCCATTTGTACCCTCCTGAGAGCAGAGGCCAAGAGTGGACCAAAGGGGGAAGAAAAGACAGAATGGGAAATAAGCTAGAGAGAGAGAAGACAGAGACAGAGACAAAGGGTGGGTGGCAACGGGAGCTCCCCAGAGCAGAAGTAGACAGACGAAGAATAGCAAAGAAAAACAGGGAGAGGCTGGCAGAGACCAAGAGCTGGAGACACGGAGGGCCAGTGCCCTCCTCATCCTTGGCCAGGGTCTGGGGGTCGTTTCCTGGAAAGTCAGATCCCATGGCGACCCCAGAGATCCCAGGAGACCAGCCATTGCTGAGGAGGCTTCTGCCTGTGTGTCTGACTTCAAGGCCCCTGCTGCCTACCCGCCACGTCCCAGGTGCGGCGGGTGTTTGCCTTCTAGAGAGACAGGCAGGCAGTCTCCTCCTGACCAGCTCCCTATCCAAGCAGAGCCCAGGCAGGCAGGCAGGAGCTCTGGGATTCCTCCAGCTCCGCCTATTGCCTGTGTAACCTTGGGCTGTCCTTCTCCACACCTCAGTTTTCCTATCTGTAAAAAAGATACCAAGAAAGAAATATTTGCCTAAGAATCTCCTGATCTGAGGCTCTCCTCTCCTCTGTTGGCTTCAGCATGCCCCATTCACCAGTGCCATGCCTGCACAACTTTGCCTCCCCAAATCCAGAGACATCGCCCCATACAAGAATTTGTAGATGGGGAAACCAAGGTTCAGAGACACTCGGCATCATGTGCAGGGATGTTCCAAACAGTGTGAATGCCAGAGCCCAGAGCAATTTCCCCAGCCTCCCCTTGGGCCAGGCTCACCTTCCCCAGGCCCCAGTTCAGAGTGTGTGAACATAGCTATTGTGCAGAGCCGGGCAGCATGGTCTGTGGGCACACATGTGTGCAGGTGACTGTCAAGGAATAGACAGGGTGATGGGCACGGGTGACCTGAGAGTTTATCTGTGTGTCATAGCAGGGCTCTGTAGGACTCTGGGCATGGTGTTCTCTGGGTCTACCTAAGTGTGAGTGTTGGAGTCGTCATATGAGCTCACGTGTGTCTGAAGTTGTGGGTCTGCACATGCCTTGCAGGAGCATAGTTGTGCTGCATTTGTGTATTTGTGAGCACATGTGAACCTAGGTCTGCTGTTTTCTTATTTTTATTTAAGAAATGCTTCTATAGTGCTATCTACTTGCCAGACACTGTTCTAAGCACTTTACAATATTAACTAGTTTAATCTTTTCAACAATTCTCTGAGAATCTTCTGTTATCATTCCCTTTAACTGACCTTCACACAACCAATATGACCATTATTTGTTGCATGACAACCAAGTGCCAAGCCCTGTGCCTCTATGCAGGGGCAGGGGTTGTGGGTGCCCAGGGATCCACACTGATTTTCAGGGAAGCTGAGGCACATGCAGAGAATTTGCTTGGCTTAGCCCTGGCCCAAGGCTGAGCATAGGGCAGAAGGACGGATGCTAGGGCTGGGTCGTCTTATTGGGACGTCTGTGGCTGGACACTCAGGTCGTGAGTGCACTGAATCTTCTCTGGTTCCAGGGCTAGAGGATATGGCCCCCTACCCTGTGGGCCACCTGGGCTCACCTGGAGCCAGCAAGAAGCAAATAGTCTGCCAGCTCTCTCTTGAACCCAGTAGATACCACTTCCACTCTCAGCTGACAGTCTCCTGTCACCAAACCTGTATGCTGCCTGCCCAGCCGGCCCCAGGACCAGGCTCACATCTCCAGGCACCTCACGGTTGGGGAGCCAAAAAGTGTCCCACTGGGAGGACACTGGCTGTGCCACTCAGCTGGTCCATCTTGTGCCTTACAGAAAAGAATAGCTGTGAGGGTGGGGGTCAGGTGGAATGAAGTTTGGAGGAAGGGATGGGCCCACAGACTATGATTGGGAGGAAAGGGGTGGTCTTATCCTTGGGAATACCTTATCCTAAGGACCCCCTCAGCATGCACGCTTGTGAAGGAGAAACTGCTGCAGGAGAGGCTGAAAGTCAGAGTTGGAGGTAGGGGTGGGAGCAGGCCTTGAATGTAGAGATACAACCACGGGGTCACTCAGGAGAGACTGTGATGGGTGAGACTCCAGGGAACCACTCCGAGCCGGCTCCAGGGGCAGCTCAGCCAAGAAGCTCACTCTTAAAGACAGGAAGGAACCAACATGTACTGAACAGTGGCTTTCCCCAGATTCTGAACTAGAAACAATCACAAATGTTTTCTCATTTCATCTGTTCATCTACCTATTTTATGGGAAAGGGGCCTGAGGTTCACACAGTGAGTCTGTGGCAGAGGTGGGATTTGAACCCAGGTCTTCAGACTCCTGCACTGAGCTGCTTCCTCCAAAGCAGAGTGAGGGCTCATGCTGGCAGGGGAGCCTCATGTCTTACTCGGGGTTTCTTTTTCTTCCTTTCCTTTTTTTTTTTTAAAAGTTTAAAATTCCTTTGGTTTATTTATTTTACTTTTATTTTCTTATTTTAATTTCATAACTAATATTTGTGAATATGTTCTTTCTTATAAAAGAGTCAATACAAGTTAAACAGAAGTTATCCTTAATTACTCCCAAACCCTAATCCCCGTTCTAGAGAAAACCATTTTTAAACAGTCTGGGTGGGGGATGCCCTCCTAGACCTTTTTCACTATGTTTTCAAAAGGTACATTTTTTGGTGTGTATGTATAAAGTAGTTTTGTTCTGCTGCTTTCAGTTTGTTTTTAAGTAAATGATATCAGTTTGTAGATACGCTCTGCCATATGCATTTTTCTGTTTAAAGGTGGGTCTTGGAGATTTTCAGTGAATATAAATCTATCTTTTTAAACACTGCATAGTATTCCAAAACCCGAGATTCATAAAGCAGTCCCTAGGAATGTACATTTAGATTGTTTCTGCATAATTTTCCTCTGTGTGTGTGTGTGTATGAGAGAGAGAGAGAGAGAGAGGAGGGAGGAGGGAGGAGGAGAGAGAGATACCAGACGGCGGCAGGGAAGCTCCTTGAAATGCCCTCTCATGTCCCCGGGTGAACATTTCCCTGTAGGATATTTCTAAATTCTGTCATTGCTGGGTCTGAGAATATGCACATTTTTTATTTTAATAGATATGGCCAAATTGCCCTCTAAAAAGCATTTGTGGGTTTATACTCACAACACTAGGAGTGACTAGGAGGTCTCTTCCCCACACCCTCTGTCTCACAGGATAGTCTGAAGATTCTTTTCCTCACCTTTGCCATTCTGATAGGTGAAAAATGGTGTCTCTTGTCATTTTAATTTGCTAATTATCAGTTAGCTTTGGGACATTACACTGGTTTATTGTCCATCTTCTAAGAGCTTTCTCAGAGCCATTACCCATCTTTCTATGGGTTATTTGTCTTTTTCATATTGATTTGTTGAAGCTTTTTATATCACCTGCCTTTAAACACTACTCCCTCCACCCCCGAGCTCTGGGAACTGACTGTGGACGGAGCAGGAGGAGGGGGGCAGAGCCCTCCCGGGAACACGGGTTTTCTTCGGAATGTTTTAATGAGGCGTCAAGAGGCCTCCCCCGGATTCCTGTTGTGGGCCTTCTGGGGACACTCCCTGGCCCGGCCACCACATCAGGAAGGCAGCTCTCCCAGAGATAGAGTCCGCAGGAAAAAGAAAGGGTGGGCTGAGGGTTCTGCAGACCCTTGAAACTGTCTGCAAACTATAGTGTTAACTGGGAGAAGGTGCAAAATTTTGCTCAGATTCTCAAAGACATTGGAAACCTCTAAACCTTTAAGAACCCCAACTCCGGCACCAGCCTTGTGCAGAGGTGAGACCTGGTAGGATCCTGTTCTACTGATCAGGCTGTGATTAGCTTAGGTGATACCATCCATCTGGGTTCTTGGTCCCCCAGCCCAGGTAGAGGCCACTTGTGAAGATCCTCTGAATCCTAGCAGTCAACTCCACCATCCCAGGTTCCATCCCACCACCTGCCCTGAAGGCGTCCACACTGGCCAGGATGAGAGGCATCACAGTGCCTCCCCCCAGCCCCTCCCAGCCCCAAACACAGGCAGCCTGTTCAGTAAGGCCAGGTGAGGAAGAATAAAAGTCAGCACTTGTCAGGGGTGGCAGGGCAGGAGTGTCCCCGGCAGGGAGCTTGTCCCATCCTGCTCAGGCCAGCCAGACAGACGGAGGGCGGCAAAGGGTAGGGAGCAGTCCCTAGCTAGCTGGCTTGGGAGACACCGAGTGGTGCCAGCACAGGTCCCAATAGTGAAACCTGGAAAAGAGGTGCAGGAAGCCCAGGAGGTCACCAAGGGTTCTCCTGTTAGTCAAGGTTTTCTCGTTCTGGCTTTTCTGGAGGTTCAAACTCTCCATGCTCCTAATATGAGGATACAACTGTCCTCTGCCCAGTTAGGGCTGAGCACAAGCTGCCATCATCAACATCATCACCATCTGGTCACCCCTACATCAATCTCCATCCCCAAATTACCTCTGTGGAAGCTGCCCTAGGTACTCTGCAAAGAGGCTCTTGCTTGACACAGTGAAAGATACAATCCAGAAAGACTCTGTTCAAAGCTGATATTGAGGCTGGCACTAGAAGATCCAAGTGGCTGGGTACTTCTTCTTTCTTTCCCTTCTTCCAGGGTTGTTGCTTCAATATCAAGCAGACATTAGCTCATTCCTCACCTTCTTTCTAACTATGACTCTTAGCCTCAGTGGCTTCGTTTGTAAGATAGGGAGCTGGTGGAAGGTGAAGGAGATATGGTTAAAGCTCTAGGGGCAGTGGCAGTCCAGGGATGAGCACCAGGCAGATCTGCTTTCTCTAGAGGTGAGCAAGGAGCCAATAGCTGTCTGCCCCCAAGGGGACCAGGCTGACTCCAGGCAGAGGGATGGGTGAGATGACCCAACAGAGCATCCTAAGGCTAACATCATGCAGAAGGAGAAGCCCCTTTCCCAGAGGCAGAGGTATCAGGAGCTGAAGAAGGATCCTTTGTATTTGCTGAAGGAGGAGAATTTCGGCATGTCTGGGATCACAGACAGCAAATGTGTGGAATTTGGCAGTTAGGAGAGGTACTGAGAGGAACGGCCCTCATTTGGGCAGTGGCATGGATCTGGCTCTCTCCACCACCACTATCACCATCACACCTCCATCACCATCACCAGCCTTGGCATTGCCCCACTCACTGTCTTCACTGCCACCATCACTGCCATCCCGGGCTCCAACACCATCCTCAGTGAGTTAGGAGCTGAGTTAGAAGGAGCTGCTTGCCCTCCCGCGGGAGGGGTAGAGAGCAGATGGCTTTTCTCTTCCTTTAGGCTTCTGAACTCAGGAAATGAGAAACACATCCGGGCTTCTAGACCACACATTACTCTCTCCCTGGGACTGCAGTTTCTATGTTTGTAAATAACATATTGGCTTCTAGCCCCGATCTGCACTCTGCCTGGAGCCCCACAAATACCAGCTCAGGGCCCCCAGGCCACCTCTTTCCCTGTTCCCTCAGTTCAGGGCTAAGGTCAGGTCACCATCCCACCTTCTGGCACATTCACAAACTGCAGGTCGTGTACCTGTGTGAATACGGGAAGGTTCCATGTTGGAGGGGTGAACATGGGGAGGGGGCTACAGTGGGGGACACTGAAGCTGATGATGGTTAGGTCAGGGGAAGTCAGCCCTAACCCAAGACCATAGGAGGGATGTGGGGAAGGGGGGATTTGGGACACCTGGCACTAGGGCTAGGTGGCCCCATGAGTGGTGAGTACGGACTAACTGACGCCTGGCCATGATCCAGCCCCAGGTCCCTCAGACCTCGCTCATGAGACCCAAGATGCCCAGACTCTCTGGATCTAAAATGATTCAAGTCCAAGTTCTCCTTACTAGGAGCTGGGCCAAGAAGACCTGAACTTCTTGGAGTGCCAGGCCAGGAGGAGAAGCAGAGCTATCAGCATTTTTTGCATCACTTCCAGGAGATAAGGCCCCCTCACTCAGGGAAGAGGCAGAGAAGGGGCCCTTCTGCCCCTCAAGCCCAGGCTTGGGGGACCTTGAATCTTAGTGAGTCCAGGGTGGATCCAGAAATGAAGGGAGCCATTAAGATATCCTTTCACCCCAAAAGCTTGCCAGGCACACCTCACCCAGCAGGCCCTCCTATACTCCCTGCTCCCACCACCCATCTGTCCCTCACTGTGGCCCCCTTGACTTAGCCTTCTACTCAGATGATCTCCCCCTGTCTCTCTGGGTCCCCAGCCTGGGGCACCCACAGTGCCTGGCAGCACGGGGACCCATAGCAGGAGAGGCGGGGAGCAATGACTTGGTGCTGCTGCTGACCCAGTAGCAATAATAGCAACCAGCTTTTCCTGGGCCCCACTCCTGCCCAGGCTTTTCATGCAGCACCTCATTTAATCCTCGCAACAGCCCTATTATTATCCTGATTTTACAGGTGGAAAACTGAGGCACAAGGGTTAAACAGCTTTCCCAAAGACAAAAAGCCAGGATTCAAGCTTCAGTGCTGGCGGCAGAATCTTCTTAGATGAGGAGAGGGTACAGCTGGAGGGAGAGCTGATGGGGGCATTCCAGGCAGAGGAGCTGTACTCCTCTCCTGGGCATTCCCAGACCCACCAGGAAACGAGACTCCAGAAAAGAGGGTGTGCCTCCTCTTGGCCATAGAGAGCAGCCAATAGCAGTAGGGGGAGGCTGAGCAGATGCCTTGGGCCTGTGAGAGGGTGTGTTGGTCATCTCCCAGCTAGTACACCTGTCTGTCTGTCAGTCCGCCAAATTTTTAGCCGGTCAGTTTTCAACCCATGACTGCCTGCATTTAGTCTAGGCCATCAGTTGTGACCCTCAGTCACATCAGTTCACTAGTCTGTCTGTTAGGAGGGTGGTTGTGCCAGTTTTGGGGGACTGGTGGAAGCCTTGTCAGCCACTCAGGAGCTTTCCAACATCTGGAAAAAATATGGTGCATTATCTGTTTGTCTTGAAAGAGATGGAGGTAGGCAGGAGAAGGAGTAGTGGGGAAGGGTGCTTGCTGAGGGAGTAAGGATAAGACGACGGGAAAGGTGGTACAGTGGTTATGGGGCTGGTGGCAGTGATGCTGCTAATGTTGCCTTCGGTGGTAATGGTGCTGGTGGTGATGGTAATGATGTTCTACCAATTGTGATGGTGCTATAGTGGTTATACTGATAGTAATAGTAGTTAGTGATCATGGTAGTAATGGTGATATTGCTGATATTGGTGGTGGGGGTGGTGATTGTGTTACTGTGTTGCTCAAAGTGATGATGGTTGGTGGTGATGATAGTAGTGGCGGTTACTGATGGAGGTATTAGTTGCAACAATGGAAATGGTAGTGAAAGGGTGCCGTAGTCAAGGGGAGATGGGCAGGGCAGCTACGCAGGGATCAGACCCCTTAACAGCCTGGGTCCCCAATGCCAGAGGCACAGAGAGAACTTCAGATTCGTGTTGGAGCTCCCCTGATTAGGCTAGACCTGAGTTGTCCTCTCTCAAGCCCCATCCCCCAGGGCTACTTCTGTCCCCCTCCCGGCTGCTCAGCCATAGCTGGAGGTGGGGGTTAGAGGAGATGTAGGGAGTGAGAGTGAGGACATGGGAATCTGCTCCAGCCCTTCCTAAGCATTGGGTCCAGTTGATCTCAGGGTCCAACTCAGATGCCAGTGAGACGCAGAAGCACGGACATCCACAGACGCGCAGGCTAATGAACAACCGCATCACACACTCTCAGACACGCACACGCTGACCTTTGCCCAGAAACGCAGGTACACATGCATATTCACAGACCCTTCAGGCTCACGTCGCAAAAGTGCATGCTGGACAATCCCCACGTGAAAATATACAGAAATAGGGGCACGCACAAGTGCACACACCGGCCAGACAGAGAGTGCGCGGCCACTCGAGGATGTGCCGCCACTCACACGCACGCGCAAAGACGTGCACGCGCCTCCGCTAAGTGAAACCAGCAGAACCCAAGTCCGGCCGAGCCAATTGGAGACTCCTTGGCCCTAAAAGCCCTTGCTGCTGCCACCAAGAGACGCGGTCAATTAACTTCTCCCTGTAGCGGGCTCCCTGACCCGCCCGGCCGGCCGGCCCGCCCCCACGCGCTGGTGCCCGCCCCTTCCCTGACCGCCGCCTCCCTTCCCTGCCTCCTCTGGGCTCTACCGCCCTGCAAAGCTCCGTTCAGTCTGAAGCGACCCGGCCCTGCCAGAGGATGTCTGAGGGGATGCAGCTCTGCCTCTTGAAGGTCTAAGGGGACCAGGCTCTGCCCCGTGGTCTGAGGAGACACAATTCTGCTCTGGGTCTGAGACGTCTCATAGGACATGTCCCTGTCCTGGGGGTCTGAGGAGACAGGCCCTGACTTGGGGGTGCAGGTGGGATCTGAGGGGATGCATTAACCTCTTGTGGGTCCCACTCATAGGAGTGGCTGGGCTTGGGCACACGGAGCAGTTCCCAGGACAGGATGCTGCCTTTATGCTCTGACTCCCTTCCAACCCTAAGTCAGGGAAACAGAGGCTCCAAGTCAGACCACCCCCCCCACCATGATGCTCTTGTTCCCTTCCTTAAAAAGATGCCAGTGAATCCCAGTCAGAGGAAGTCAATGCCCAGGGTGTGCATGTTGAAAGGAAGGGAAAGAAGGACACTCCAGGCAAAGGGAACAGCAGGAGCAAAGGCCTGTCCACTTTGTCAGAACACAGGGCCTGCTTGGATGGAGGGAGCTTCCAGATAAGCAATGGATGTGGGTGATTCCCACCCACAGCCTGCACAGGAGTGCCCCGCCCAACCCAGACCACGTGCCAGCAAGTCCTTCATCCTCTCCCTCTTGGGACTGCAAGAGTGGGAGGGGCTGAGGCACTCACCATTCAAGGGAAAGCATTGACTGGGGATAGGGCCAGGATGGAAATTGGTGACTCCCAAGGTCCCCAGGGCACTAGGACTTGAAGGAATCTAGACCCAGTTTGTTTCCCCAGAGTTCACCACTCCTTATCCATCCCCGCCCCACCCAGGTCCCCAGCAGACAGCCAGGATCCTGTGAGGATCCATCCTGGGACATTCTATCCCTTTCCCACGTACCCCTGGGGAACAGACTGGACAGTGATTATCAGCCTATGGGTTTACTATCGGGCGAGCAGAGGACAGCCCCCCCCCTTTTCCTTCTGGTAGAGCAGGCCCTTCCTCTTGGAGCTAAGGCTTCCCATCTGTAAAATGGGAGCTACGTAAGGCAGATCTCCCACATCCTTTGGAAAAGGGGGAATCCCTCAAAGAGGCTGGGATAGTTTGGAAACTGCTGCTCTGCTGGGAAGTCAGTCCTGCCTGCAATCTGACCTTTGGCTTGGTAGGTGGATGCAGATGACGTCATGACCAAAGAGGAGCAGATCTTCCTGCTGCACGGCGCCCAGGCCCAATGTGAAACGCGGCTCAAAGAAGTCCTGCAGAGGCCAGGTGGGGGGGGGAGTTGGGTGGGCGGGGCCAAAGAGGAGGGTCTGGGGGCCAGGTCAGGAGAGGGAGGGGCCAGAGGAAGCTGGGAGCCCAGGATGCAGAACCAAGTGGCACCAAGAGAGGGTGTGCCCAGGTAAAGGGGGCCAGGTCAAAGTGAGGACCAAAAGTGGGGTGAGTCAGGTGAGATTTAAGTCAGCAGGCTCAGAGATACGCTGAGCCTCCCCTCCCAGGATGCAGACTGGAGGGTATAAAGGCAGCTAGAGTCTGAATCACCTCCAACTAGCTTAGATCTGGTGAGGCATGCCAGGATCAGGAGCTCTGACTAGGGGTGGGCTGGGACAGCTTCCAGGAGGAGAGGAAGTATCCAGTGCAGATCCAGAGGGGTGAGTAGGTCTTTGAAGGAGGCCCTCTGGGCAAAGGACAAAGCATATGAGTCCAGGGTGAGGAGAATGAGGCTTTAAGGGGAGGAGAACGGAGGGATACAGATGGGTATCTATGACTCTGTCAGTCATGGTCACTGTCCAGGAGTGTACTTAATGGGGTAGGAAGGCTTCCTCCTACCAACACAGCATCTTCATGGGACCCTTGCCATGGTGAAGCTAACCCCACAGCCTGCCCCAATCTTAAGCTCATCTCTTCATTGAGCCCATTTCCTTGAAGTGGAAATGGGGCTCCATTAGCAACCATCCAGGCCTCTGACTTCTATCTGATTAACCCCTCACCTGGAAGATCCCCCCATGACTTGTGGGCAAGTACAGCTTCCTCCCCTGAGCTGACCCTCAGACTGCTGGGGGAGGATGCTGGTGCACACCCAGGATGCAAGTGCACCGTGACACACCCTAGAGCCCACAGATTCTGCTCTCACTCACAGAGACTCACATGGTCTCTGCAGTCATAGCCTGCCCACACTGATCCCACCAGTGACTCCCTGGTCCCTTGCCTCAGTCACATCAGGGTCTGGGATGGGGTCAAGTGGAACCCAGCCCTCTTCCTGGTTGTGGGAGCCTAGAGGCATCTCCCTCTGCCCTCTCTCTGTTCACTGTGGAGGCCCTCCCTTCCCACTCCACCCCATCCTGCTACCCTCACCCTACTGAAGCCCCAAGGTGCAGACAGGAAAATGGGCACAGCCATTCCATCTCAGCCCAGGGTGTCTGCACTCAGCTTCCCATTGTTGCCATAAACCCTGACACGGGAGGGCCAGGGGACCCTAGCTTGGGCTGTAGCAAGTCAGATAATAAGGATGACTTTTCAGCAAGGAAGAGGGTCCTCAGGCATTTCTGAGTGGGAGAAAACGCCAGGCTTCATCTCAGATGGAGAATCTCCAAGGTCCCTTGTGGAAGCTGTGAACTCCTTCCTTGGGCATCCTAGGACAGGGGATGGGGTAGAAAGGCTCATCTGTGCTCTCTTAGCTGCACACTTGTGCTCTTCTCTTCCACACCTACGCAGTGCTCTGGCCCAGCTTCATTTTCACTGTTTAACCTCTCTGTTGACATCACCACTACTGTCTACTTTTGCAATGCGCCCCCTGGTGGGGCCTTTGCCTCCTGTGGGCTTGGGCTCAGGGTCAGGCACCACCTCTGCCGATGTCTTGTCCACTTTACCGCTCAACCTACTAGTTGATCCCATACCGGAATGGTGTTCACTTCCATTTGAACCCGAGTTGACAGTCTCCATGCTATCTGATTACTTCTGCACCTGGCAAGTGCTTTACAGTTTGTAAATCATGTCCTCACCTGTCATCAGCCTGAGTGTCAACAGGGCAGGGGACAACCCCCACTGTACAAAGTGGGGTCTGAGGCAGGAGGCCCCCTGGGTTCCCCTGTTGTGGCACTGTTGACAGCCATAACTGCTCTAATTTTTCCAGCTGACATAATGGAATCAGACAAAGGATGGGCATCTGCATCCACATCAGGGAAGCCCAAGAAAGAGAAGGCATCTGGGAAGCTCTACCCTGAGTCCGAGGAGGACAAGGAAGTGCCGACTGGCAGCAGGCACGAAGGTATTTCTGTGCTTCCATGCATCCATCTAAGACCCACTCGGACCTTCCTGCTCCACTGCCCCACCCCTTTCATGTGAGCTCATGCTCCTGGCTCTTGTGGAAGGAGAGGGGCTGGGAGGAGACAGAGCTGAGGGGGCAGCATGTGGAGGGGACAGGCAAGCTGGATGGGCTCAGGCCCCCCTAGAGAACTTGCCCTGCACACCTTAGGGGTAGACCCAGGGCTACATCCCTCCCATAGAGAGAGATGACAGAGAACCTGGGAGACAGATGGGCAGGGAGAGGCTAGGAAAGACCTAGAGACAGAGAGAGGGAGAGATAAAGAAAGGCAGGGAAGAGACAGAGAGGGGACCAGGAGGCGCACACTGGGCCTGGGACTCAATGAGTCAGAAGAGGGTGCGCCATAGAGACAGAGCAGAACAGGAGTGGGGCTGTGAAGGGGTGGGGCCAGACAGCGGGACAAGGAGGGCAGAAGAGAACAGAGGGAGGGAGATGCGGGGCTGTGTTGTCCCTCAGGGAGGTAAGGAGAGACAAATGCAGAGCCGAGGCTGCAGCCACAGGGCCGGTTTGAACCGGCTGGGTGGGCAGCAGATTCCAGATGGGCCACATCTGGGAGGCTGTGGTCACCCTGTGGCTCCCCAGGGACCAGAGGGAATTGTGGGCCCGGCCAGGCAGGGCTGGGAATATGGTGCCCAGGACAGAAAGCCTTTCACCAAGCTGGGGTGGGTCCAGCCATCAAGGCAGCCTTCCAGGGTGGCTGGAGAGTCCTGTGGTTGGAGCCCTGAAAGGGGAAAGTCGGGGGCTGGGGCATGCAAAGTGCAAGATTCAAAAGCTGGAGACCCTCCAAGGTCACTTAGCATCTCTGCTGTGTGGCTGGAGCCCCAAAGTGGGATGTGTCACCCTGCCTTGAATCTCACAATTAGCACTTAGATTTGGGGGATGTCTCCCCAATGAATGGTCACTGGAGTCTTATAGCAGGTGCTCAGGGCAGGTCTTGGACAGTGGTGGAAGTGCATATCAATCCCAATTTCCCAGGGAAGAAACAAGTGTAAAGAGGATGGACACCTGCATGAGGTGGGCAGCTGTTTGGGAGTGAAGCTGGCACTGGAAACTAGACTTCCTGCCTCCTGTCCATGGTCCCTGGGCAAGGGTCACGTAGGAAGCATTCTCAGCTGAAGGAGAGTTAGTCTGGGAACTCACCCTTCTCCAGGGACACCTGGAAGGTGGGACCAAGAACAGAGAGAAAGAGAGAGGCCTGACCAGGGGTTGTACACTTGAGGAGGGCAGGGCCCTGGGCTGTATGATCTCGGCAAATCACTCGCCTCTCTTGGCCTCTACCAGCCAATCTAGAAAATAAGGCAAGTGCCAGCACCTGCATAAAGGGGCTGTAGTGAATTCCATGAGGCCAGGTGGGTGCAAGGCACGGTAGGGAGTAAGGGCTTAATACATTCTCTCTGGAATGTTCCAAGCCTGAGTTCTCTAGTCTCGGAGCACACTTGTCCCTGAGGGAGCTAGTGACTACAAGTGTATTCATTCCTCTGGGTCACTAACCACGAACTTAACTAGTGTACCCACCTTTTCTGTCTATCTCTGTGGGCACAGGGCGCCCCTGCCTGCCAGAGTGGGACCACATCCTGTGCTGGCCCCTGGGGGCACCAGGTGAGGTGGTGGCCGTGCCCTGTCCAGACTACATTTATGACTTCAATCACAAAGGTAAGGCAGGCTGCAGTAGGGTGGGACCACAGGAGTACCAGGACTTGGAGCTCAGGGCTTCAGTGGCTCCAAACCTCTGTGCTCGCCCTGACCCTCCCATGGACCTGCAGGCCATGCCTACCGTCGCTGTGACCGCAATGGCAGCTGGGAGCTGGTGCCGGGGCACAACCGGACATGGGCCAACTACAGCGAGTGCGTCAAGTTCCTGACCAATGAGACTCGTGAACGGGTGCGAGCCTTCCCCATCCCTAATCTGATCCGGATAAGGCCACCCCAACCCCACTGGTGACGCCTGGCAAAGTCCTGACTCCTCCCCCAAACTTCACCCGGCCTCTGACCCTTAACTTGACGCTCACCTCGAGTCCCGGGGCTCTGACGGTGCCTCCTCGCCTGCACAGGAGGTGTTTGACCGCCTAGGCATGATCTACACGGTGGGCTACTCCGTCTCGCTGGCTTCCCTCACGGTGGCTGTCCTCATCCTGGCCTACTTTAGGTGGGCGGGGCGAGGGGCGGGGCGAGGGGCGGGGCGGCGTGGGGCCGGGGGCCTCGCTGGGGCGGGTGCTTTCCTTCCCCTCATTGTACCCCTACCCACCGCGTTCCCCCTGGCTTCGTGCCTACCCATCGCGCGTGCCCGTGCCTCCAACCCATGGTATGACGCGCCCCGCAGGCGGCTGCACTGCACACGCAACTACATCCACATGCATCTGTTCCTGTCCTTCATGCTTCGCGCCGTGAGCATCTTCGTCAAGGACGCGGTGCTCTACTCCGGCGCCACGCTCGATGAGGCTGAGCGCCTCACGGAGGAGGAGCTGCGCGCCATCGCCCAGGCACCGCCGCCGTCCGCCGCCGGCTACGTGAGTGCTCCCTCCGGCAGCTGCCCGGGCCCCTCGCCACCGCTGGCTTGACGGGAGCCCCAGCCACCCACCCTGGGGCGCCCCCGTCCCTCGCCCCCATTTGTCTCCTGCGACCACGGGCTTCAGGCCACTCACACCCACCTTACTGCGTCCCTCGCACCCATCAGCTCTGCTTCCAGCCCCTTTTGTCCAGGGCTTTATGAGTGTCCCGCCTCCCCACATTTTCATCAACACTCCTGCCTCGGCCCAGGACCCCCAACCACTCTACCCCTTCACCTTGCCCCGGGCCACTGTCGTGTGCCCTCTTGCCCCGGCAGCATCTACTCCACACATACCCCTCAGCTTCTGCCCTTGGTAGATCCTGCCCCTTCTGCACTGGCTTGACTAGCACCACTTGTCCTATCTCATCAGCACCCCTGACCCATGGCCCGTCCCTCTACCCAGCCGAGCTACCCCAGATGCAGGCCCGCCCTCTGGCTAACACCAGCTGGTCTCCTAGGTGGGCTGCCGGGTGGCTGTGACCTTCTTCCTTTACTTCCTGGCCACCAACTACTACTGGATTCTGGTGGAGGGGCTGTACCTGCACAGTCTCATCTTCATGGCCTTCTTCTCAGAGAAGAAGTACCTGTGGGGCTTCACAGTCTTCGGCTGGGGTATGCAGGCACTGTGAGATGCAACAGGGTGGGACCCTGGGTGGCAGGGTCAGAGACTACCACTGAGGGGAAGGCACCCACACAGCACAGCCCATCACTGATGTGGAGCAGCAGGTGGGGAGCCTGCCCACCCTTCTGTGACCATGACCCCATCCCAGGCCCAGGGAAGAGGGCTTGGCCAAGGGTTAGGGTTCACCTGGGGTTGAGGTTCAGCCCGGGAGAGGGAGGGGGGACTCTCAGGTCAAAATTCAGCTTAGGATCAGAGTGGGATTTGGGGTCACATGTCAGCCTGGGGCTGGAGTTGGGATCTGGGACCTTCCCTCCACCCTGAGCCCCCACCAGTTTTCCCCAATAATCCCCTCACTGCATGGAGCTGTCCACCTCTCTGCCAGCCCAGAGCTGCAGGCCTAAGCTCTTAGCATCATCTGGGCTTCGGCAGCCCCTATGCAGAATGGGTTTCTGGGGCTCTGCACTCCTCCCCCACGGGCTCTGGGATCGAGTTACCGATAATTGTCCATTATTGTTGGCAGTTCCAGAGCTTGGCTGGGCTCCGGGGCGACTGGCCAGACTGCAGAGGGGTAGGCCCAGTGCTGGAGCCATCCCTGCACTCAGCACCTAGAGGCCCTCAGATCAACAGCCATAGCCTCCCTGCCCTTTGGTAGATATTGACCTTGACCTCACCCATGGCAAACCCCAGAGTTGAGGGAGACCTGGACTTGGTCCCAGGAACTGATGCGGGCTCTGGGGCTAGAGGATGTCAACGTGGGTGGGAAACACACAGATCTGAGAGCACACAGGAATGTCACAGCTCTTTTTCTCACATAAACCCAGGTTATGCCCTGCCCCTCCCAAGGGTGCACAGGGCCTAAAATGAAATATGAGGGGGTAGAGGGTGAGGACTTGAACTCCTTTTGAGAGGCAAAGCTCACTCAGAGATATCATCTGAGCTGGCTCAGGCCTGGGCACACTAAGGTTCCTCTGTGGCCCTTTACCCAGCCTGGAACGACACCTGTCACCCCATCCAGCCTCATGGGGGCTAGGACCTTTCAGAGTGGATGGGTGGGGGTGGTTGCTGGAACAGAAAACACCTGCTAGTAGTTTCCCTCTCTCACAAGGAATCCCCAGCACAGAGCATCACCATTTAGGGGAAGGGAGGGCAGAATGGACTGGGCATAGATAAGTTAATGATACTTTATTTCACCATGTGCCCAACAGGAATGCATATGTGTGGTACCATATGCAGATTCAGGATGAGGGCAGAGGGCTGAACTGGGTCCTGAGGGCTGGAGCACTGAGGGGAGGCTGTTGGGACAGCCAGGCAGCCCATGCAAGAGTGGGGCTCTGTCACCAAGCAGCTTATGTACCCAGGGTGAGGGGGGTCAGGGACAACAGTGGGATAAGTCGGGGGTCATCAGGTATGAGGGGAATGGGACTGGCAAGGTGGGCTGAGGAGACGGACATTGTGAACAGCATGCACAGTCCCTCACACACTGTCCCCCTCTACACCCACAGGTCTGCCTGCCATCTTCGTGGCTGTGTGGGTCAGTGTGAGAGCCACCCTGGCAAACACCGGGTAGGTCCAGGTGGAGAAGGGGTCAGGAGGCTCTGACACAGGCCAGAAACACCCCTGGTACCCTCTTCCTACATGAAGCATATGCAGGGCCTCCTGTACTCTGGCTCTGAGTGGCCCCAGCTTTAATAGTTTTCTTTCCAACTTTAAGCCAAGGTACCCCCCAGAGTCACAGGAGGCTAATTCAGAAGAAGCTTCTGAGGATAGCCTCAGGCCTGACCACACCTGACACTCCTCTCTCCTGCGCCCCAGTGGACAGCTAATGTCACAGGAGACCAGCTCTGGGACCTCTCTGTGGGAAGGCTGAGGGCGGAACACAAGTGGGTGGGGGCTGATGCCTCAACCTTCCCCAGGTGCTGGGACTTGAGCTCTGGGAACAAGAAGTGGATCATCCAGGTGCCCATCCTGGCTTCCATTGTGGTGAGCAGGGGTGACCACAGGGCTGGGTGGGGGTGTGAACCATGGGCCCCAGGGACCAGCCCCTAACAGGGACCTATAGAGGTTTCCCTGGACCCCAGAGTCAGAGCTACAAGGCCTGAGAAGCAGCTAATCCCCTCCCCAGTCCAGATGCAGAAACCAAGGGCCTAAGGAGCCTCCTGGAGAAAGAGTGGCAAAGCAGAGCCTGGGCAGGGCCATGGGTCCCACAGTCCTTGCCCCACCCTGCTAGGGTGCAGCCTTGAGATGCAGCCCTCCCTCACTCCCACAGCTCAACTTTATCCTCTTCATCAACATCGTCCGGGTGCTTGCCACCAAGCTGCGGGAGACCAACGCCGGCCGGTGTGACACGCGGCAGCAGTACCGGTGAGCCACGCCCGCCATGCCCAGGCTCCTCAGAGGTCAGGGGTCTTCAAACCCCACCACCATGTACAAAAGCAGACAGATGTCCAAGAATGAGCCTGTCTCCAGAGAAGGACCCAGCTCCTGACTCCCTGTCTGGCTCTGCCAGCAGTGATGTGATTTCGCCTGGCTTCTGGAGGCCCTGGGAGCCCTGCAAAGCCAGCCTGGGCCCCTTGGTGCCAGTCCCCGAACCAGAGCTGTGGTCTGTGAGGACAGGACAAACCCAGAGCTCTCCTCAGAGAGCTGGTCACAGGGAGCCTGAGGGACAGGTAGGCAGTGGGTGGACTCGAAAAGGTGGCAGTTTGGCTCAAACCTGGAGTGAGCCGTGGGATACCAAGGTAAGGCCACAGGGGAGTGAGTGAGTGCCAGCAGAGGGACCAACAGGTGCAAAGGGCCCAGGGACGGGGCAACATAAATTATGGTCCACTCCAGGACACCTCAGAGCCAAGGGGCCCGATTAACACTTTGCTGAGACAACAAAGTGTCATTGGCTCAAGTGAACTGGGCTGTCTCCACTGGTGACCAGAGCTGTGGGCCCCTTAGTGGCTTCTAGAGCCTGGGTCCAGCATGTGGGGGTATGTAGTGCCTGTTGAAGGGGAAGCGGCTCCTCCCTGATCCACCTGCCCTTCTGGCCCAGGAAGCTGCTCAAATCCACGCTGGTGCTCATGCCGCTCTTTGGCGTCCACTACATCGTCTTCATGGCCACGCCGTACACCGAGGTCTCAGGGACACTCTGGCAAGTCCAGATGCACTACGAGATGCTCTTCAATTCCTTCCAGGTGTGCAGCCTTGGCCGAGGGCAGGAGTAGGCAGGGGGTGGCAGGGGAGGGTGCTTCCACCCTCTCCAGACGCAGCTGTGGGCCCTGACCTAGTACCCTCTCTCCGCAGGGATTTTTTGTCGCCATCATATACTGTTTCTGCAATGGCGAGGTAAGCAGTGGGCCACGATGGGGCAAGGCAAGGAGGACGCAGAAGTGCTAGGGGGTTCTCAAGTCCTGTCTCTTCATTCTTCTGCCTGGTTCTTACTCTCTTTCTCCAAGAACATCTCTGAGGACATTCTGAAGGCAGAGAGGTCTTTCCAGATGATTCAGGCTCAGGACATGCTAGGATTTGTGGGCATAGCCAAGTGTCTTCCCAACCCCATGGCTGAATTGTCTGTAATCCAGACTGAACACTCAGCCACCCTTGCAGCCATTTGAGCCTTCTAGATTCTGGGTGTGTCAATCACCTGCAACCAGGCACCATGTTCTAGGATGATGGGATTTTTCTTGGCCTTGAAAATTTCCAGTAACATCCAGTGCCTCTGTTTCCATTTAGTGTTCAGTGTTGTAGGGGCAGGGATGGGGCACTGTTGGGGTTGGGGGACATGTGACAGAGGGGCTAGAGGCATATCTGACCACCCATCCTCCTATTGCCATCCCAGGTGCAAGCTGAGATCAAGAAATCCTGGAGCCGCTGGACGTTGGCACTGGACTTCAAGCGCAAGGCACGCAGCGGGAGCAGCAGCTACAGCTACGGTCCAATGGTGTCTCACACAAGTGTGACCAATGTAGGGCCTCGCACAGGACTTGGGCTGCCCCTCAGCCCCCGCCTGCTACCTGCCGCCGCCACCAATGGTCACCCCCCACTGCCTAACCACACCAAGCTAGGGGCCCCGGCCCTCCAGACCACACCACCTGCCGTGGCCGCTCCTAAGGACGACGGGTTCCTCAATGGCTCCTGCTCAGGGCTGGACGAGGAGGCCTCGGTGCCAGAGAGGCCACCGGTCCTGCTACAGGAGGAGTGGGAGACTGTCATGTGATCAGGGACCCAAGGGTTGGACCTGTGGACATAAGGGCAAACAGGCGGACCAAGAGATGGGTGGTTGGACGATTGCCCACTCAGGGCTGGGGATGGGAGGACAAAACAGGAAAAAAAAAAAGAAAAGAAAAAGAAAAAAAGAAAAGGGAAGAGGAAGCAGTGTGTGGCTTCCTGTGGTCTGAACTGGGGACTCATTCCAGGAGGGGAGGGCCTGAGAGCCACAGGGGAGTTCTTAGTCTCACCTCAGGAGGGGGTCTAGGAACAGTAGGCCAGTCCCTGGGGTGGGGGAGGTCAAGGCATAGTCCAGCAGAAAGGGCCTGGGAGAGGCCACTGTCTAGGCCTAGAGAAGCCCAAGTTCAATGGGGTCACCCAGCACCCCAGTGGACCCATGTGGAAGTTGGGCCCCAGCCTTTCCCTGCCTCCAGTTGCCACCTCGGCTGCTCCCTGCACTTTTACCCAGGCTCCATGAGGAATTTAAGCTTTGGCCCAGGCTCCTCTGGGCTATCTCTCCTCCTGCTGGTCCCCAGTTACTGTCACCCAGGGATGACAGCAGATCCCTTGGGTCCCTGGCCACATCTCCAAGCCTAAGGGCCTGCTACAGGCCCCTACCTGCCTGTTTAGTGGCTATGCTGTAACTCTTAGAGGCTAGAGCCCTCCAAATGTGACCCCCAGCCACTACCCTGGACCTGACACGCCTCTATCAACCAGACAGAGGGTGCAGGGGCAGTGACAAGGCCATCAGGTGAAAAGTGGCCGGAGGTCTCTGCTCTGGCTCAGGAACTGTGGGGGAGCCAAGGGGTCTGAGCCCAGAGGGCTGGCTGGGGTGGGGGTTGGCACATCCACTCACTGGATCCAAAGTGGTCACTAGCATCCCCATCTGACACCACTCACCACCTTACCTGCCCCATTGACCCCTGTCCGCCCCAGCCTTAGGCTCTAGAATGGCACAGGCCCTCTTCAGCCTGACACTCTGAGAACTGACCCAACTGCATCTCCAGCCCATGCTCTGGGCAGAGCAAGTTTCTTGCTCAGACCTGAAGATGGCCCTGCCTCTGGGCCTATGCACAAGCTAGTGCCCCTTTCTGGCCCTTCCTTCCCCTCATCTCCAGCTCAGACTGTCTTGTTCTTCTCCATGGACTCAGCATTTGGGAAGTGCTCCTCATCTCCAGCAGCCCCCACCCCATCCCCCACTGAGGGCTAGGAGAGGGGTCATGAGGCTGGGCCCACAAACTCACTTAGGCAGTGGGTGGTGCAGGCATACTCTGAGTGGCCTCAGGTCCAGCCCCACCTGCCCTTCCAGATGGTGGGCAGGGCGACTGTCCAAAGGCCTGGTGCACCCATGGAACTTCATGTAGCATGACCGGCTTGGAACACTACAAGAGAGGCACAGGCTGGGACCTGAAGACCACTGAGCAAGGCCAAGCATTAAGTCCTAGAGGGAGAGCATCAAGGTCTGAACGATTTAGAACAGTCCTTGCTCCAGTGTAGAGGCCAGAGGCGGTTACACGAGGGTCAGGGTAGCCTTATGGAAGGCTGGTGGCCGGGTGGGGACATAGAGATAGGGGTGGGAGGTGCTGTTGTTAGGAAAGACCCCCTCAATTCCCCCCAAGGGGAGTCTGATGCCCCTCTCTGGGGCTCAGAGCCACAAGACCTCCAGACTTACTCTGAGCCTTCAGGGCAACTCATCCCATCCACCCTATAGGCAGAGTCACTAAGGCCCCCAAGCTGGCTGGGTCTCAGGGCCCCATCTTCATCCCAGACTCCTCCTCAGGAGGTTCTGAAGTAGAGTCCATGAGGCCCACTCACCCTGAAACACTCATACTGGGCACCTCTAGGACAGAACTGTGTCTTCCCTTCAGACTGGGTGCCCCCACCCAGGGGCTTGAAAGCCTCTCCTCTCAGACAGAGTTTAGCCTCCTCCTGCGGACAGAGAATCTCTTCCACCCCACAACAGGGCTGCGCTCACCCCTCATACAGACTGGGCACCCCCCAAGACAAAGTTGTGCTCACCCCTCAGACTTGTTACCACCTTCCCTTCAGATGAACCCCCAGACAGGGTTGTGCCTCTCCTCTCGACTAACTGCCCCCCTGGACATGCTGGGTACTCCCGCCTCAGGTTTGGCGTCCCCAGGTAGGGCCAGGCCCCCCATATCCACCTGATTACCTCCTCCCTGAGGGCTGGCCCTCTCTCTTCAGGATTTTTGCACCCAGGACAGGGCCAGTACCCCCTTTAGACTGGGCACCATTTTTCCCCCTCGACTGTATATCCAGGACAGGACTGGACCTCTTACATCAGTCTAAGCCCCTAGGCCAGGACCAAGTCTCCCTTAGACCTGGAGCTCCTGGCCGGGGCCAGCCTCCCTACTCAGAGAGGCCCTGAGCCCCGCCTGGGCCATCCAGGTGTTGGCAGAGGAAGTGGGAGCCCTCAGAGGACCTGGCAGGCAGTCAGGACCCTGTTTGCCTTGAGCAGGGGCTGAAGCCAGGTGGTCATTTCTCCCTTCAAGGCCTCACAGCCCAGCCAAGCCGCAGGGAACACGTAAACACCAGCCCAGCCGAGCGGCGGACAAGCAGGGAGGAGGGCACCGAAAGACCCTGACTCCTCAGCCTCCTTGGCCACGGTGTCTGGGCCCCCCGTGGGCTACTCCAGACTCCCAAGTCAGGCCAGTAAGAAGGGCTCCAGCTCCCACCCGTCTCGGGCATGTGAACGGGCCCTGCCTGGCCCCAGCCCAGGCTGGGAGAGGGACCTCTGAAGACACCTGGAGGGAAGGTACCCTCCTGGGGGCTCCTGGAACACAGGCCAAGCTTTAAGGGCAGGCTGGGTGAGTTCATACCTCCCAGCTCAGAGTGGGACCTAGGGGACCAGCGGCATTGCAGGCATGCCTCTGCTGACCCTCAGCATGCAGGCCTTTGGAGAGGACAGACTGAATGGTGCCCACACATCTGTCCAGACTGGCCGACCTTGACAGTCCACAACCTTTAGCACTCACCTGGGGGCAGTGCTAAGACAGAGAATGGAATGAAGGGGAGGGGACTGAGTTCTTTGAAAGATGAAAGGGACATGACTTTCCCCAGGGGTGTGAGGGGACAAAGCTCTGCTCTGAGAGTGTGTGAGGGAACAGAGCCCTGGAAGGACTCTGAGAGGATCCAGCCCTGCTCTGAGGGCATGTGAGGGGACACGGATCTGCCTAGGAGTGGGTTCTGAGGGCACACAGACCCATTCTGAGGGTGTGTGAGAGCATATGGACTTGCCCATGGGAGTCTGAGGGGACACATGCTTGTTCTGAGGGAGAGTGAGGGGACATGTACACACTGGGAGGGGTCTGAGGGGACACAGCTCTGTTCTATGGGCACATGAAGGGACAAAGACCTTCCATGGGGGTATGAGGGGACACAGCTCTGCTCTAAGAGCATACAAGGGAACATGGACCTGCCTGAAGTCTGACAGGACATATCCCTGCTCTGAGGGTGCTGAGAGGACATGGACCTGCATAGGGGGGGTCTGAGGGACACAGCCCTGCTCTAAGGGTGCATGAGGGGCATGGACCTTCCCTGGGTGGGGAAGTCCGAGGGGACCCAGTCATATGCTGAGGGCGGGTAAGGGGACATGGACCTTCCCCAGAGAGGGGCTCTGAGGGGACCTATCCCACGCTGAGGGCAGTGAGGGTATGTAGACCTCCTCAGAGGAATCTGAGGGGAAAGCGCTCTGCTCAGACGGAAGGTGGGTGAGGGGACTCGAACCTGCGCAGGGGTGAAGGCGTCTGAGTAAACCCAGTTCTGCTCTGAGGGCACGTGAGGGAACACGGATCTTCCCAGGGTGGACGATGAGGAGACCCAGCCCTGCTCTGAGAGAGCGTTGAGGGGACACGGACTTGCCAGTGGAGGTCTGAGGGGACGCACTCCTGCTCTGAGGGGGCTGAGCTGAGGGGACATGGACCTGCCCAGAGGGGGTCTGAGGGGACCCAGTCCCAGGCTGAGGGTGGGTGAGGGGACTCGGACCTGCTCAGAATAATCTGAGGGGACACAGCCCCCTATGCGGGAACGTGGATCTACCATGGCGATCTGAGGGGGCTCAGTCCTGCTCTGTGGGCATGTGAGGGAACATGGGCCTGCAGCGGGGCAGCCAGTGAGGGGACACAGCCATGGTCTGTGGGCGTGTGAAGGGACATGTACCATTTGTGGGGGACTGAGGGGACACAGCCCTGCTCTCAGGGTGCGTAAGGGGACACAGAACTTTCCGGGGGGATATGAGGGAACCAGGCATGCTCTGAGGGCATGTCAGGGGATCTGGACCTCCCCTTTGTATGTGTGTGTGTGGGGGCTCTGAGGAGATCCAGCCCCACTCTGAGTGTGTGTGAGGGGCATGAACCTTCCCCAGAGAAGGGCTCTGAGGGGACCTATCCCACGCTGAGGGCAGCAAGGGTACATAGACCTGCTCAGAGGAATTGAGGGGAAAGCGTTCTGCTCCGACGGAGGGTGGGTGAGGGGACTCGAACCTTCCCAGGGGTGAAGGCGTCTGAGCGAACCCAGTTCTGCTCTGAGGGCACGTGAGGGAACACAAATCTTCCGGGGGTGGGGGGAGGGGTGAGGAGACCCAGCCTTGCTCTGAGAGCGTGTGAGAGGACATGGACCTGACTGGGGGTCTGAGGGGACCCCGTCCCATGTTGAGGATGGTTGAGGGGACATGAACCTGCACTGGGGGCTCTGAAGGGACACAGCCTTTCCGTGAGGGCATGTGAGGGTACAAGGACCTTCCTTCAGGGAGTCTAAGGGTGTCCTGGCTCTGCGTTCATTGTTAGAAGTAGGCATGGCTGTGGGGACTGGGTCAGAGGGTGCTGAGGGAGTGGGTCTCACCGCGCAGCCAGGGCACATAGGCTGGGTTTCGTCTAGCTGTTGAGCCCTAATGCCTCCTCAGCTAACTCCAGAATGATCCCAACCTAAGGCTACCTAGGCCAGCTGAAACAAGTGTTGGCTTGGGCAGAGGAGCCTCCTCCTGGCCAGAGGAGGAGGAGACTCCAGAGCCAAACAGGGGCCTGGGCCCTGGCTGGCTCCGTGTGTGTGCTGTGTGATCCAGGGCAAGCTGCCTTTCCTCTCTGAACCTTGTCTTCACTTCTGAGGTTGGACTCCAGTCCAAGTCTCTTGGCCTGTGTGGGCTGAGTACC